ATTAATCATTATTATTATTATTATTATGATAATCTCTATTATTATTTTTATCATCATCGTTATCATCATCATTGTCATTATTATTATAATTATTATCATTATCATAATCATAATTGTAAGCATTATTATCATTATCATCATCATTTTTATCAACTTTATCATCATCATCATCATTACTATTATCATCATCATTATCATCATCATCATTAACATAATCATCATTATTATTTTTACTATCATTAATATTATTATCCTTTTTATCATTATCATCATCATCATTATTATCATCATTTTCATCATTATTAACATAGTTAACATCATCATCATCATCATCATCATTTTCATCATTATTATTATCATAATCATTATTATTTTTATCATTATTATAGTCATCATCTTTATCGTTATCATCATTATTATTATTATCATCATCTTCATCATTATTAACATAGTTATCACCATCATCTTCATTATCATTATCATCATCATCATTATCATCATTATTATCATAATCGTATCTATAATCATTATCATTATTATCATTATCATTATCATCATTAGCAACATCATTATCATCATTATCATTATTATTATCATTATTATTATCATTCTCTTTATCATTATCATCATCATCATTATTATTATCAACATTATCATTATTAACATAGTTAACATTATCATCATCATCATTATCATCATCATCATCATAATCATTATCATCATTATCATTATGCTCATTATCATTATCATTATTATCGCCAGCATCATCTTCATCATCATGGTCATCATCATCGTTCATCATCATTGTCATCGTTATCGTCAACATTATTATCGTCATTATCGTCATGATCAACACTATGATTATCATCATCATTATCATCATTATCATAATCATCATTATCATCATCATCATTATCATCATCATCATCATCATCATTATCATTATCATTATCATAATTTTAAGCATCATTACCATTATCATTATCTTTATTATCATCATCCTCATCATCATCATCATTATTATTACCATAACCATCATAATCATAATTATCATCATTATCAGACATTATCATTACTATTATAATTTTAATGATCCTTTTCATCTCAACATTATTGTCATCTGTATTATTATTACTTAACATTTGTCGTAATCGTCATCTTCATGTGCAACTTCAGAATTACCAGCAAATTCTTAACCTCACTATTTTCCCTAAATTATTAAAACTATCATTATTTTAATCATCATTTTCATCATTAATATAATTATCATCCACATTATTATTACTATTACCATCATTGTAATCTTTATCGATATCAATGACATCAGGATTACCAGAAAAACATTGCCAAAACTACTTTTATCATCAGCTTTATTCGTCGCCATTTTCATATTTATTATCATTTACATCATCAACACAATGATCCTCAGTATGATTTTTACCTTGACAACCATCGTAAATGATATCTCCAATCCTAAGATCAGAATTACCAGCAAAATATTAACATCACTATGCTTATCATTATCTATATTAGGACAATTATAATCATCATTGTCAACATCGTAATCTATATTAGCATCACTATTATCGTTGTCATCAACATCACAATCATTATAACAATTATTATAGTCATAGTCATAATCTTCAAAATCGTTATTTTTATTATCATCCTCATTATAATTATCATCTTAAATATGATAATCATAATGATTAATAACTATTATAACTATCTTCATTTTTATCATTATTTATTATAATTATCATATCATCATCGTCATAACAGTTGTGTATATCAGCTTCACTATCATTGTTCTCATTATCCTTACTATTACGGTAACAATTATGAATACTCTCGAACGTCAACATTATCATCATTATCATCATAGTTATCATCTTTATTCATCATCACCACTATCAGCATCTTAACAATAATTTTCATATTTTATTTATGTATTGTCAGTATCATAGTTTCTATGACCATTATCGCAATCGTCATCTCTATAAACGAAATAAGACGCACCAACAAATCAATATCAAAACTGTCTTTATTATCGTTTTAATTAGTATCATAATCGTCAATATCGTCTTTATCCTTATCTAAATCATAATCTCTATTATTTTTGTCACCATCACTACTATCACGGTCACAAATTTCAAAATCGGAGTAACAATCGTCAAAATCATCGTGTTTCTTATCATAACGAACATCATCATTACCATAATTATTTAAATTGTAAGCATCAATAATATCAATTATTTTTAACTCTATTATAACCTTTATTATTATTTTTATCATTAATATCATAATTATCAGTACCATTGTCACTATTGCCATCATTAAAATTTTTATTGATATTAATGACATAGGGATTTTTCGCAAATCATTGCTAAAACTATCTTTTACATTAGCTTTATTAGTCGACATTTTAATCTATATCATCATTTCCATCATCAACATAATGATCATCAGTATGATTATTACCTTTACAACCATCATAAATAATATCTCCAAATCATTCATCAACATCACCAGCCAACTATCAACATCACTATCTTTATCATCATCTTTATTAGGACAATTATCATCAACATCGCTAACATCGTTATCTATATCAGCATCACTATCATCGTTATCGTCATCATTACTATCATACTAACGATTATAATAGTCATACTCATAATCTTTAAAAACAATATTTTTTCATCATCCTCATTAAAATCATCATCGTAAAGGTGATCATCATTGTTATTATTAATTATAATCACTATCATCATTATTATCATCATTTTCATCATCTATATTATTATTATCCATATTATCATTACTGACACCATAATTGTAATCGTCATACGTATTAACGACATGAGGATCACCAGCAAATCTTAACAAACACTAACTTGTTTATCAGCAACATAACTATCATTTTCATTATCATCGTCGTTACAGTTGTATTTATCAACATCATAAATATCATTATCATCATCGTCGTCGTTACAGTTGTCTATATCAGCATTACTATTTTCGATTACATGATCATTACAATCATGGTAACAATTAACATAAATATACTTTCGATCGACAACATGATCATCATGATCATCATCAGTATTATCATTTTCCCTATAACCATTATTGTAAACGTCATTTCTATGAACAACATCAGAATCGACAGCAAATCAGTACCCAAACTCTCTTGACCATTATCTCTATTTGTATCGCTGTCATTTTTGACATTATCATTGTTATCTTCATCAGCATCACTATCAGCGTTGTAATCGCCATTACTTTCAAGATCACAATTATCAGAATCATCGTGACATTTATCATTATCATTATCTTTATCATTATCATCATTATTATATTTATAGTTATAATTATCGTCATCTTTTTTTATTACCACTATTATAATTTTCTTTACCATTATATTATCATGATTAATATTATTATCATCAGTATCATGATTACTTCGTACATTAATGTAATCTTCATC